ATATTCAGAGGCTCCTTTACAGATTATATATTGCCCCAGCAGTGCTTTAATTAATTAACTAATTTAATGTTGCCATCTCATAGAATGGGCATGACTTGGCTCCAACTTTGTTTAATTTTTATATGAATACATCAGCAGTTACAGTGGAATCTGAAGTTTTCTGTGACCGGGCTGGTGTATTTGTGTCTCTTATCATTGATTGATGATTCTATTCTGCTATCCCTATGCAATTAGGATTGTTCTGACTGCTAATGACTTTTTGAAATACTGTTTATTAATAATAAGCTATTAATAAATGGACAGCGGGTCAGAAGTACATTAAGTGATTATACCAATATAAACATTTAGCTATCCATTTCCAGTATAATTTGAATTGGAGTATACCCAGGTCATCAAGACTATCACTAGCCAGAAATATATTAAGTGCTTTCTTGCAATTTCTTTCGTGCAATTTCACTATTCCAAAGGAGATCAGTTGGCATTTCAGGTTTTTCATTCAAAGATTTATCCAAACTTCTTTATGGGGCTTCCTTGTGGGTACAGGATATCACAAATGAGCTGGAAAAAATGCTATCTATTGTGAATCTTATTCTGTCTTGGGTTGTAGATACATTCAGTGTGTTAAGCTAATTTCATCCATTTTAAGAATTGGACTCCCACTGTAAAGTTTACTGCATTTCATGCTTGGCCAGTATTATGATATTGTTTATCAGTTCATTTATCATATTGAAACTTATATGAATCTATTTTAATTTATCTTTATTATTTAAGTTTAGCATTAGCTTAGCATTTTTCTATTGTTATTTCATATTTCATTATATTCCCAAAACACATGCATGTAAATTCTTTGATGTGTTTGATTATCAATTTTTGTATCAGTATCTGTATCAGACAAGTGAGATGTTGAACTGTGTTGGATTGCAGATACAAACAGTAGAGAGAGTATCATTTCTTAAAATTACAGGACTACTGTCCATACTCACAAAACAGAACCTGACGTATCCCTTGCATATAATTTCTCTTCTTTATTCGATGCCTGATCTTCATTCTTCATTCACTTCCGATTCCATTCCGTGTCATATTTTTCTAATCAGAAAAAAGTTGATTTCTATAGAACAATGAAGGTGATTGTGTTTGAGATACAATCGGAAGAACCGGACAAAACAATGCATTGTAAACATTAGAATGGTACATATTTCCATGCTTGGAAATCTTCCTTAAAAGAACATAAAACATAGATTCCATTTACCCCTTGCATTGTTACATGAATAATGTCTTACAATAAAAAATGAATCAGTTCTTCTAAGACCTATTAACAATCTAATGCACATTTTGGCTTCATTAATTGCTCATAAGTAAGTAAGCTGCGCCAGGCCTCTCTTCCAAAAGAACCTCTGTTTCCATGCCTCTACAATGTCCTGTCTCTTTGGTAATTTTTGAACAGCTAAACATTTTAACGGCAACTGAGAAGCTCTTCATAACTAAATTATTTAGGAAGAAATAGTAATTGTAAAAGCTCAGAATAAATGACTTCAAAAGATAATGATGCTTTATAAAGATTCTAATAGAAGATAATTGAGGCAAGATATAGTACTTTAGTATCAATTTTAAGTAAAGAGAAGTTCTTATTTCTTCTAACATGGTCAGTTGATGAGAATGGCTATTTTCCGTGACAACTATTGATGCAATAAGCTAACTACTTTTGTTGTCTTTCAGTTTCCTAAAAAATTTTCACTCATCCTAACAACCATGAACCAGAACAGGACCTTATGTATTATAGAAAAATGAAACTGGATTTAAAAGTCATATTTTAAAAAAAATTCCCACTTGTTCTCCTTCAGTGAAACTGTTTTAAGTTTTTCATCAAGATTTTATGAACCCATCTTTTACCAGTTCACAGCTTTTCATTTCAAACACTATAACTGGCATTTCTCTCCCCATATCCAAGTATGCATAGAACTGTGTTGTCTTTATGAACTGGTCTTGCTATGAGGTCTTCATAGGGGGTCCTCTCAATAAGAACAGCAATGTATAGTTGATGTTGCTTCAAACATATGGTTCTAGTATTAAACTGATTGATAATGTGGTACATGTGTTAGCCTAAAACCACCATAGTTATTGTGTATTAAATCTTAATTAATTTGATATGCTAAATATTATTAATTCCTAAAATTAGGGCAGTATATTAAAATCTAACAGAGTTCAGGATAATATAAAGATCATGGAATGTCTAGAGCATTTTTAAATTTTGAACAAAAAAATCATTAATTGATGGTCTTTGTAAAGAAGTTGGTAGATAGCATCATTATTCACCATTTTTATTGAGATTATGCAGTCATAATCAGTCATTTCAGCAAAGTATTCCCAAATGTGAAGCTTTCCAGGTATCCTGAATTTAATTTTCCATCATCCTAGCTAATGAGGTGAATGACTCTGCTAGTTGAGGCTGATAGGAATTATATTATATCCAGGAGACAAGTTCTTAGCTAATGCTAAATTTGAATAATGATCATTTTTAAAAAATAAAATAAAACAACACCATTGCAAATAAATATACAGATATGTCTTAATAGATACTAAAATGCCAATTTGATGTAGTGGTTAATAAGACATCAGGCTAGAAATTAGGAGACCATGAGTTCTAGTCCTGCCAGGCACAAAGCCAGTTGGGTAATTTTGGATTAGTCACTCTCTCTCAGTCCCAGGAAGAAGAAAATGGCAAACCACTACCAAATCTTGCAAAACAACAACAACTGTAGGCAGTTGTCCAGACAGTCTCCAGCAGCCAAGCTTACTTGAAGGCCCCTAAATAAAAGAATAAGGTAAGGTAAAGGTTCCCCTCGCACATATGTGCTAGTTGTTCCTGACTCTAGGGGGTGGTGCTCATCTCCGTTTCAAAGCCGAAGAGCCAGCACTGTCCGAAGACGTCTCAGTGATCATGTGGCCAGCATGACTAAATGCCAAAGGCACATGGAACACTGTTACCTTCCCACCAAATAGGTGGTCCCTATTTTTCTACTTGCACTTTTTATGTGCTTTCGAACTGCTAGGTTGGCAGAAGCTGGGACAAGTAATGGGAGCTCACCTCGTTACGCAGCACTAGGGATTCAAACTGCTGACCTGCCAACCTTTCAATCGACAAGCTCAGCGTCTTAGTCACTAAGCCACTGTGTCCCTTAAATAAATAAATTATTATATAACTTATTATATAACTTATATTAATGTTTATCTCACTTTGAAAGTAAAATCGGTGTTAATCTGCTAATATTATTCTAAATAGTATATGCACAACTATGTTTTTTTAAAGTTTTTCAAAATATTTCCACTTAAGGATAATACAAAGATTCCAGTGAGAAAAATATTTACATAATAGTTAGAATTTCATCCAGGTATAAGCCAGGCCTAGGCCTAGGAATTCTGGTGATTAAACTAAAGCTGCTACATCCTCAATGTTCATTGGAACATAGTTTGCTCATTTTATTTTTAATATTCTTTCTGTGAATCAGCAGACTGCTTCATATATAATCATTCTCCTGTCATCCTCAGCAAGCATTCACCTTTCTGTTGGTAAATGTCTATTCTCAGTCATTCAAGTCATGGTTGTCCCAAAGGTGCTTTTTGAAGAGGCAACTGGACTTTCTTGTTTTTTGTTGAAGACATTTTGCTTCTCATCCAAGAAGCTTCTTCAGCAGTAGAAGGATTTATATTCCCTGCAGACAGCTAGTCATTTGCATTCTTTTAGAGAGTTGTTGAGGCCACTGGAGGCTTATTACCCCAAGGAAACACATAAACCTCCAGTGGCCTCAACGACTCTAAAAGATGAGCAGTAAACAAATAAATAAATAAACAAATGACCAGCTGTCTCTGCAAGGAATATAACTCCTTTGAAGTGAAACATCATCAAAGAAAAACAAAGTCTAGTTGCCTCTTCAAAAAGCACCTGTGGGACTTTCTATAGGTAATGAAGGAGCTTGCTGGTCGATCTTTTAACTGTCTTCTAAATGTTTATCAGGTGGGAAGCCATTGTTACATTTGGCCACAGCCTTTTTCATTAAGATCAAATGTGTTAGTGTTGATTTCAATTAACCTGTGTCACTTATTTTTAAATATACAAGATTTTGTATTCACAACAAATTATATACAAATTAATTCTTTGTTAATGATTTTTTTCTTCTTTTGTGATAATTAACTTCCAACTCTAAACCCAAAACTTAACTTGTATCTTACTTGCAGGCAAAGTATCTATGAAACTGCTATTTAAATCACATCTCTGTTTATAAATTGTGTTTAAAGAAAATATTAAGTGTTTCTGTGAACCGATAAGACTGATAAAATTTAGTTTAGTCCCAAAGTAGTATTCTGAATTAAATAAATGTGACTTGGAAACTTACCTTAATGAAATATCTCTGTACCGTCGTGCGGATTATAAAAATTATATATAGACACTATTATTATTTTTAAGGTAGTTCAGTTTTTGTTTCTAGAAAGAAAGGCTTCATGAAGGAATTATGTATTTTTTCTTAAGCTTGTCATTCTCTCTCAAGTTTTGTTTTTGTGAACTCTGAAAACCCCTTCGCTAACTCCCTATGCTTGAATTTACCCTTTGTGCAGACATCTATCAAATGGGCCATCAGTAGCAGTTGACAAGCAGTAGTACATCCAAGTTTTTTTAAAAATTCCTTTGATTACTACAGATCCATAGAGCCCTTGGGTCCAGGGCTTCTACTGTAGCACAGCTATTTGCAAATAGATTTTTATAGCACATTAGAGCTGGCGAAGAGTCCAAAAAAAATAGCCTTTTTCAGTATTAGAACCAGCTGTGGCTTTCTTGCTTGGATGAGTCATTCGTATTTTGGTGAGGGAGGGGAGAGAACTAGCTAAGGACACACAGAGCCTTATTCAAGACTTTGTTTGTTTTTGCAAAGGGTATCCTAGCCACAAGCCAACTTGATCATATTAACTCTATGTTTATTCAAAGCACTTTCTTTTTCTTTCAACAGTTCCAATTATAAAAACAGAACCCTCTGATGATTACGAGTCTGCTCAAACCTGTGGACCAAGGAGCCATGGATTAAGCCCTCTCTCTAAACCGTATTACAGCCAGCAGATCATGATGCCTCCTGATCCTGGCTCGTGCCTTGTAGCTGGCTTCGCTTCCTGTCAGCAGAGAAACACTGTGATGTCATCATCTCCCAGCTCTAGTCCTAAGCTGCATGATCTTTCCTCTCCTGCTTACAAGTGCATCACCAACCCAGGCCATAATCATCTAGGACTTCAGCAGACGGCTGGAGGTGTCCCCACCATACAGGAAGTGCCAAGGTCTATTGTTGTGCATCCAAGCTCTCCTGATCAGTCATCTCACATCATGCTGCAGCCGCAGGTGAGTCAACATCTGAGCAGTACCTGTTCCCTTGGTAATCAACAAGCACTCTATCCCAACAGTCCCTCCTCTCCAGTTCCATCTATAACCCAGGAGTCAACCTATTTGCAGTCCTGCGGTCAAACTCACTCAACTGTAATGGGCCAACAGCAGCTGCCGAATGTTCAAAGAAATGAAACTCCAGCAAATCAGCCACTGTCATTGACCGACTTGCATGAGGACAATAATCATAATTTGGCCCCTATGCCCGTAACAGTCAAGCAAGAACCTGAAGAATTGGACCAGTTATACCTGGATGATGGTAAGTCTGCAGATATAGAGGTTTGTGTTCAGCCATTTTGTGTTCAGCCATTGAGTTATTGTAGCCTTGTGGAATATTCAGGAAAGGGGAAGCTGACAACTAACAGCCTTGTGGAATGGCACAGAAGTCTGATTGGATGACATATGTATGGCAAGATTTATTTACTGTTATCAACATTAATGAAAGTCCATAACCTAAACATTAAGTGCTATTAGTCATTGTTAAAGTATCTGCATGCCCAAGAACTAAAGTATAATAACATTAACCATTATTGGTCTTGGCTTAAGCCATAGCCAATGGCAAGTAAAATGACATTGAAAGCTATCCATCATATAGCAGCTTGAAATACATAAGCCTACTATTTAGAATTAAATGATGAAAAAGTGTTATATTTTATCTAAGAATACCTATGTTTAAAAAAGGCACAAACATTTTCCTTCTCTAGCATTTGAAATTAAAGCTGTTTCCATTGCCACATGAAAAATCTTTGTTTTGAATTATAAATCATAGCTAATTTTGTACATACATCTACATATTTCATACATGTATATTCTGCATGCACCATTACATTGCTAAAATGCTACACTGAGTCTGTCCAGCTTCCAAAGATTGAATCATTTAAAGCAATAAAAGATGAAATCTGGAATTTATTGCATTACTTCACTGAATTGTGATGCGTTGTTTAAAGTCGTGAACGGTATGATGTTTGACCTAAGGCAATGAAAGAAGTCCTTCCAAAAGAAATGCCTTTGAATAGATTTATTTTTTTAATCAATATACTTAAAATTCTCTTGTAATAGAAGATTACAAGATAGCCTGTTTGGTTTAATGGGAAGTAAACATTAAGGCACCATGGTAGAAACCAGGAGACTGAGAGTTCTAGTCCTGCCTTAGGCATGAAAGCCAAGTTGGGTGATTTTTGGTCAGTCGCTTTCTCTTAGCCCATAATGTAACTATCAGGTGATGAGCCAGTCAAATAATTCCTTTTGCAACTACTGGATCAACTCTCAATTGATTGGAAAAAAGCAGATTGTGCACTTGCAGGAAAACACTAGGAAGGAAAAAGAAAAAAAAATAGTCACAATTTGTTTGTATGTGTTTTTGCAAAAGTATTTGTAATATTTCACTCTAACCCGAGGCAGCATGACTAAACCTAGATTCTCATTTTAAAAATTAAAATGTGAAGCTTGAATGGCAAATATTGCATTTTCTTGTTTTAGGGATCGTGATATCGTTTTTCAAAATTAAAATATCCTATTAAGATTTGTTATAATTCTGAAAAGAAATTAAAGAGGTATTCATCACATCCAGAATGTCACATGGCTCCCCACATGTGGCTAATATAATAATACATTTCCTATAAAAACATTAAATTAAACAATTTAAAAAATTCAGGAAAGCCTTTTTTATATTCTTATGTCAATAAGGATGTTTCCATGCCAGAGCATCTGAAATGTATCTTTAATCTAGTTACTTTTCATTTTTATGTCAGTGTTTTCCATGATATTGAAGTTTTGAGTCATTCATGTGAAACTTGCACATATTTTTAAATTTTTACCAAATCCAGACACGTACCTGCCATATTACACCCCAGATTTAACAATTGTCAATAAGAAAGACCCCTTCCCAAAAAGTGTGGCTAGTGGACGTAGCAATACTTGAAAACAGCAGAATAGAAGAGGAAAAACTGGAGAAAATCATAAAATGCAAAGACCTACAGATAGAAGTAGAATGACTATGGCAAAAGAAAGCAAAGATAGTAACAATTGTAATAGGGGTCTTGGGTGCAATCCCAAAACATCTAGAGCTCCATTTGAACACCCATCGGCATTGGCAAAATCATCATGAGTCAACTGTAAAAGGCAGCGTAACTTGGAACAGGTTACATCATGCAAGGATACCTTTAACTTCAAATAACAACATCTGACTATACCAGATCCTTCAGAAGGAATCAGTGGGTGAATAAAAATGCCAAATCCAGTCTAAACATTTGGCTGATTATGCAAACAACCATAATAATAATAATTTCAATCAAAATAATTTCAAAAGAACAATTTAAATCAAAATTAAAATTTTGTGGCATAAACTGGCTACCCATGATCCCAGTGGTTGTTAACACACTGGGTGCTATACCAAAAAATCTTGGTGCAATCTCTGTCACTTACAAAAAGCCACACTACTTGGATCCACACATCGTACACCAAAACAAAGTCCTAGGTTCTTGGGAAGAGCTTGATGTGTATAAAGGCCAACACCGACTAAAATACTGGCAGCTTTGATTTCACAGTTTTGGGTATATAATTATAATAAAAATGAACCACTTCTAGAAGCTGAAAAAGTGACCATATATATGAATATACCACAGAATATAATAATAATAATAATAATAATAATAATAATAATAATAATAATAATAATAATAATAATAATAATAATAATAATTAATAATTAATAATTATTAATAATAATTAATAATAATAATTAATAATAATAATACAGAAGAGGGAGGGCTCCTTTAGTTCACAAAGTGCCTGTTCCTGAAGTTGAACATGTTTGGTTTTCATCAAAATGTAACTTTTCAAAAAGTGTTCCTCTCTGTCTAGCACTCACAATATGTTGGCATTTAAGATTATTTTGAAAATGATAGTATTTGCCATTTCAGCATCAAAGGGAGGCCGTTTGGATTATTAATCTTATTAATGTTCTTTTGGTATATTTTGATTCCTACTGCACAATGCCATTCAGTTGTGAAGTTATTTCCTACCATTAAGGACATCAAAGAAATTTGCAAGGGTTATCAATAAATGTTATCTCTATAAGCGACAAGGGAACACGTCAGCACTAACAGGAAGAGACTCCTGGAAACTAACTGATGAGCCAATTTTTCTACACAGGGAGATACTATTAATCAGTGTTTTCTTGAATATGTTGATAACAATTCGTGTTCTCAAAATAATAATAATAATAATAATAATTCTTTAAAGCATGAAGTGTTAACATTAGGTTGACATTTCAGAAATAACCTATTGGTTTGTGAAATGTGAAATGGATTGTGTCTTTAGGGTTGTGGGAAATTACAAATGAAGACTTTGAAGAAGTAATCTTGAACGCTGTAGGTAAACATCTGAAACAAAAAGAAAGGACCCTAGAAGAGGTTCTGATTGTCTTGAGGGATGGCTCAACCTTTGACAAAGTTCACATGCTTATATTGTATTGAATAAACATAATTATGTACCCATAATCTGAACTGCAGATTATTATTTACAAAGCATGGTGGCTGAAATCAAATATGATAAATCATATCATAATCTGATTCAGCATAATGTGTGACTCAATTTGGCATACCCTTATTGCACTGTTGTTTGGCATGGGGAACGTAACATTGGACTGGAACTCATAAAATATTCGGCATTTGCTATGGAAAGGTCAAATTGCACATTCCCCAGAATGGCCTTTTGCCTTCCAGATTGATCCTCTTCCTGTTCTCCAGTAAGTGTGGAATGGTGAGAACTATAGTCTGATCCATCGGGAGAGGAACAGGTTTTATAAGACTGCTGTACAAGAATCCTTTTCTGGAAAGAAGCAAAGCAGAGAAGAATTTCAATGTCAGAACCATCTGTAATTGTTTTTTTTAAAAAGTTCTGCATGCTTTGACTTTGCTAATGATAATTCTGTATTGTCCTACAGGGATGTAACAATGGGAAAATAGAGGTTTTGTTTCCAGTGAAATTTCAATATTAAAATAACTGTAGTTAGCTTGATAACAACAAAAGGTAGACAGCAAAAATGTTTATTCATCATGGTTGCTTTCACCAGCTAAACTTATCAGTGAAAAAAGTCAAAATGGTGGTCACAACTGCACAGGAAAACGCCACTCTAATAAATAGCAGAGGGTATAAAAAGATAGATTATTAGATTCACCTTCAGTGACTCTGTAATATTGACAAGAACTTTTAGCTTTATAAAACTTGAAAATCCTGTTAACCATAACTCTGCCAAAGACCTAACAGGTTTAATAAACTACAGTGAAAAATTACCCCTCTAATTACGTCCTTGGTAATCTGTAAGGTCTTACAGTGTCACTTTTGCATCTGAAAAGTCAGCTAGAGTTACCCTGAAACTGCTTTAGGAAATTGAATTTAGAAACTAAAATTGTTTTTTCCATGACACATATATTTACTCCCTCTTTTTTCTAAAGAAGGGTTTAACTTAATCAACTTATGTTGATATTTTGTACAGAACTATACACCAGGTGTCTTCAAACTGGTGCCTTCTAGAAGTGTTGAGAATCCAAGTCTCTGGATTTTCTGTTCAGCATAGTCAATAGCCTTGTGAAGCCTGGCATATCCATAAGAAAGAGGTCCTTGGGTTTGGAGTTACCGGATGTCACTCATCAGGAGATGTATTCACTGTCAGTCAATTTTTGCCATCTGTAATTGTCTCTGTACTTGAGAATATTATAGCCCTCTGTCCTAGAACACATACATGACATTTGGTATGTAAAAAGGCTGGGGGCCGGGGGGGGGGGAGAACTCTGATTATCTGTTATTTAACCTGGTAAAGGCAAAGTGTTGCTGAAAGCTGCAACTTGGCCAAATATTTTTAAAATTCACTCTTAAAAATAATGTTTTTAAATAAATGCTGGGAATTGTGGAGGCTGTCCGCTACCCAAGAACCGTTTATCCTGCCCAACTGTTGGAAGTCTACCACGTCTATATTTCTCCTATTTAAGCCTTCACTTTTGCACCGTATGTGTAGGAAGAGGTGGAGAGTTTTATGTGCACACACACATACACACACAGAGAATTATACATATGGTTTAGTCATATAGTTTATTTGAACAGGAACTGTACCAGACAGAATTCTTCTTGTGTTGAAATATATCCTTTTCGTGCACCTCAGCTTTGTGATTAGAGTGATTGGCTCTCCAAGCATTACGTTTAGTCTACTGGTGCCATAATTAGCCCTTTCCTAAACCTTTGGTGGGTGCTCACTAATTT